CTGACGTTATTTTTACTTTTTATGAGCTTCATGGATATTCAAAATATTGACCCTCTGTGGTGGAGTACCGATATATCCCATCTTCACAACAGATCTTTTATCAGCAGAAATAATTGGATGTGTGAAATATGAAGAGAGCCGTATGTCTATTTCGGATTTCATAATCATTTTGGTTATTCAAAACTTTGGGGGAGAGATACCAGAAGGAATGGTCCGATATCTAAAATCGTTATAACATACCTTGTGTTAGTAGAAATATTTGAATGGCATCGGTTAATAATTTCACGTTTTATGAGCTTCTTGGATATTCAAAATTTTGACCCTATTTTGGGGAAGGTACCATCTTCACACTAGACCTTGGATTAATAAAAATGTTGTGATCTGTACAATTTGCAGAAAATCGATCTCTTACATCACATTTTAAAAGGGTTATAATTATTCAAAATGTTGACTATTTTCGATGAGGCACGTTTTGGCCGGATCAAATGAAATGATATATACCCTCTATAGCCATATGGCTGAGGGTATAAAAAGTAACTAATCATTGTAGGCCCAACGAAGTGTTTATAAATTGTGATAGAAAGAGTTTGCATAGAGTTATCCTTTGTCTGCAGGCAAGTCAAATTTGATGATGAGCTTATATCGGTCAACGTATAGGCCCCATATAAATGTAAAACATGACTTACCTACAAAATGGGGGAAGCTATTTAAAGTTCGGCCCGAACGGACTACTTGTTGCTGCTTTTTATATGTATACTTTGTTAACGAATATGGGAAATATTCAGGTTGCGCAAAAATTCGCTCGCAAACGATTAAAAATACGATCTTTTCGCATGAGCTGATTTTGCGTTCTCAAAGAACAAACGTTCGCGAAAGATCGAATCGACGACGTTTTCAACGAAATTTTATGGTTCCTGCGTTTTTCGTACAATGCTTATACTCGTGAGAGATCAGCCAGAAGAGTTTCAAAAGCTACCAATGCATACAGAAAAACTTAAAATTTCATGCCTACACAGGGAGATCCGCTACAATTATTATATTGGCATTACCGACCGAAGAATTGGAAAAACTAAGCGGATGGATCATTTGAGGCGCAATTTCGGTCAACATCGGTCAAATGGACTGCTATCAATTCCTAAACCCATGTACGTTTATTAAAATGCATTTCATTCATTTGTTGTGTATTGCATGTGTCTTTTTTATGCCCTACAAGATGGGGTATGTGATGGGGTATTATAAGTTTGATTGGGTCAAAAATAAAGTATCACCTCGATATATTGGCCCAGGAAGCTCCATATACAGAATACTATATTCTGTATATGGAGCTTCCTATCTTGACGAGTTGAATCGATTTAGCTATGTATATCCATGCATCCGTCTGCCCATGTTAATTTGAAGTCTCGCTGCAGGTCGCAATCATGGCCAGATCCTCACAAATGAATGCAGGTGGGGTTAAGGTGAAGATGATTGCAAAATATTTAGGTATTTAAATGAAAAAAAAAAAAAAAAACAGAACATTTTTTGATTTTGCTCTTGCTCTAGTGCTCACAGTTATGGACCAATCGACTTAGAATTTTGCCTGTAACTAGACTTAAGGGCTGGGCCTGAATGGTCATCGAATAATATTTATCGGGTAAAAAGACCATAACTTTTATGTAAAAAATTCAAAAACTTCCATTAAACCTGGAATATTTTAAATTCCAGCGAAATCACAAATACACGAATTGGTAATTTCTGACAGACTTCAGACTGCTCCCATTTCTAAGACACTCGTCCGACAGCTGTTAAAATTATTCCAATGACAGCTCATTATATTGTTTACAAGCGTACAAAAGCATACCGATGAGAATTTTCCACAAAAAAGTTATTCGGAATGGAATTCATGCGTGATAGTGTGATTTCTTTATATTTGGCTGGAAAACCACAAGTTGCTATCGTTTGAGCACTCCAGCATTTAAATGTGAATAAATCGATTGTGTCTCGTACCATCGCTCGTTACCGTGATACTGGTAGTGTAGCCCGACATCAAAGAAGTGCACGAAAGAAAACAGCAACATCAGCAGAAATGGTTCGAAAAGTAAAGAAGCGACTTGATCGAAATCCGCGTCGCAGTGGCCGAAATATGGCTCGTAAGCTGATCATATCGGAAGATTCTATTCGGCAAATACTGAAAAATGAGCCATTGAAATTCAAAAAAGTGCAAACTCTTACACCGCAACAGAAAGAAAATAGACTCAAAAGAGCTAAAGAGTTGCTTCGCTTGGCCGAAAGTGGTGAACTGCCAAATTTGTTTTTCTCCGATGGGAAAACATTCGTTGTCCAGCAGATTGTAAACAAACAAAATGATCGTGTTAAATTGCCAAAGAGGTCAGCTGATAATGTGCACCTGCACTTGGCCAACAGCCGATGGTCGCTCTCCGATCGAATTAATCGACCGTGGCATCAGAATAAATGCCGAATATTATCCCGAAAATATTATGGAGGGTGTATTAAAGCCTTGGGCACGCAAACATTTTGGCCGCAGACCTTGGACATTCCAACAGGACTCAGCACGTGCCACCCATGAATGGTTACAAAATGAGGTTCCTCGCTTCATTTCCAGTGCACAATAGCAACCAAAATCTCCGGATACCAATCCGTTGGACTATTGTGTCTGTTGTATTTCGATCTGGTCAATGACTCTGATAGCCTACGATCGTTATTGTGTCATTGTCAAGGGTATTTCGAGGAAACCAATGACGATCACGTCTGCCGCCTGGCGTTCGTCTGGAGTGTGTGCATGATATGGGCCATATGGCCGATGGTCGGACTATTGTGTCTGGAGTATTTTGGAAAGCAAGGTTGGCACTAAAAAATACCAAAGTGTCGAACACCTCAAGCAAGCGCTTTGTCGGGAATGGACCAAAAAACCGCAAAGCAACATTCGGGCAGCGCGTGATTGTTTCATTGGCCGTTTGAAGGCCATAATTCGTGCCAAAGGTGACCAATTGGAACAAATCTAAACTTATTTCAAAATTTGCTGTTATTTCCGACATTATTTGCTATCATTCAATAAAATTAAAAAAAAAAATGTAAAAATTATGGCATTTGACTTTCAGTTTTCAGTTTTTTTATCTCACCCTGTATTGATGGGGATGTTAGTTAGACTGCTTATAAATCAAGAACGGCTGGACATATTTTTACATTTCTCACTAATTTAGAATGGATGCAATGGATCGTTCCATACTTTCTGGTATCTCTCCCAAAAAAATCTAAATTTTCAAAAGAAAATTAGTCCTTACAGTCTAAGCCTGGCACATCGCAATATTTATATTAGACTTAGGTCAGATCCAACATTTTGAGTAATCATAATCGCTTCAAGTAAAAATATATTTTAATAAAGGGACATTGGTTGAGGTTTCCGTCGGAAACCTTGAATAATATTTTTTATTATACCCTCCACCATAGTATGGAGGGTATATTAAGTTTGTCATTCCGTTTGTAACACCTCGAAATATACATTTTAGACCCCACAAAGTATATATATTCTTGATCAGCATAAAATTCTATGTCGATGTAGCGATGTCCGCCCATCTGTCCGTCTGTGGAAATCACTCTAGCTTCCGAACGAATTGAAGTAGATTGATAAAATTTTACTCAAATTTATGTTATGTCTGCACGACTGTTGCTATTGAAAATGAGCCATGTAGGTCCACGTTTTGGTATAGCCCCCATATAACGGTACCTCCCGATATTCGGTATTTATATGATTTTTGCGACAATATTCATCGGAATTGTTTCAAATTTGGTATTTGAAGTTCGAAATGAAATGGGCAGCCTAAGACAGAAAATTGTCTGTGCACGTCCACGTCTTCGTATAGCCCCCGTATAACGGTACCTCCCGATATTCGGTATTTTGATGATTTTAGCGAAATTATTCACCGATTTTTTCTGTTTAAGTTTCGCATTGGAATATTGTAATGGCTTATGACAAAAATTACCTATGCAGGTCCATGTCGTCATATAGACCCTAATGAAACAGTTACATTCGGTATGTTTAAGATTTTAACAGAATTCTTAAGGGATTTTATTGTTTTTGAGAATTGCCAAATTTGTTCCAAATGGTGGATGGTATTCAAAGTTCGGCCCGGCCGCTTTTTTACTTGTTTTGTTTTATATGTTATCGCCCTATTTTGAACCACTTTTATTTACCTCTTCACGTACCTGACCCGGCCAATTGAGCCTTCCTGGCTTATTTCCTTTAGTTTTCATGCTAAAGAATGAAAAAGGGATATCATCTTCCTACAAATACGGTCCGTTTGTTTAGAATATCCAAATAAGAGTGAATGCCAAGCATTTTGTAATAAGATTCAACCTTACATAAACATCCACATTTGGCGAAATAAGTTATGCAACTGACTAAAATCTATTTATAAAATCATATCTGAAGGACATTTAAGGTTCCCAGGCGTAGACATATTCCCAATTTGAAATCAAGTTCAACGTTACGAAATTAAAGTTCATCCACTGACCTTTAGCGGTTAAAAGACAAAATATAATTTTAACGACTAATCCAATTGGATTCCATGCGGACAGCGGACAAAATAAGACGTTTCGAAAGAAAACAACAACAAACCAGAGAATAGTTAAAAGTACAACAAGTCTATGACAATTTCCATCATCTATGGGTATGAATGAATGTTCTTCGTTCGTATCCTTGACTTTGTCCCGTATGAACACCGTGGTAACCCCAAGAACACGTGCTTATCTCACTAATCCCTCGGTGCAAATTAACAATGAATGGGCCATGTTTTGTCAACAAAAACAACAACAACAACAAATCCAACACAAATACCCAATTGAAATTTAAATTGGTCTTATGTTTAATTTTAAGTGGTCATCGGCAAATTGGATTAGGAGACAATTAAGAAATTCAGCCACTCGGAGTGTTCCTTCTGCGCTTTACCATTTTCTTTTTATTTTTTGGCTATCGGAGGCTATAAAAGCCAACCATCCAGGGACATGAATAGCAGTTGCCGGACTTAGCTCTTCGAAGTGCCAATCAAAAATCTAACGTGAAACGGATACGGAAACCATCACCAAAAACTTCCGAAGGATAACTCAACGCAAGCAATGGAAACAAGGCAACAGTGAACAAAGGATACCACCATTCTCCCATCTACTTGTTCACTTTGTTTGTGTCTAACAACCCAGAGGGGATCCAGGAATATTGTCCTTTTCCAGCCAACAGGATCTAGCTCCAATTCAAAATGATGTCCTTTGTCAACTCTCCCGCTCTGGAACATTTACGCGGTGGCCGCAATGTCAGCTTGGCCGAAACTGTTCCAGCCGATATCCTGCACATGGTGGATCCTTATTGGTATCAATGGCCACCGCTGGAGCCAATGTGGTTTGGCATCATCGGTTTCGTCATCACCGTTCTGGGCATCATGTCGCTGACGGGCAATTTCGTCGTCATCTATATTTTCACTTCGGCCAAATCGCTGCGCACCCCATCGAATATGTTCGTCGTGAATTTGGCCTTTTCCGATTTTATGATGATGTTCACCATGTTTCCACCGGTGGTGTTGAACGGTTTCTATGGCACCTGGATAATGGGCCCGTTCTGGTGTGAGCTATACGGTCTGTGTGGTTCCCTGTTCGGTTGTGTTTCGATCTGGTCAATGACTCTGATAGCCTACGATCGTTATTGTGTCATTGTCAAGGGTATTTCGCGGAAACCACTGACGATCACGGCTGCTGTCTGTCGCCTGGCATTCGTCTGGAGTGTGTGCATGATATGGGCCATATTGCCGATGGTCGGCTGGAATCGTTATGTGCCGGAGGGCAACATGACCGCTTGCGGTACAGATTATTTTGCCAAGGACTGGTACAATCGTTCGTACATCATTGTCTATTCCTTCTGGGTCTATCTGACACCGCTGTCTACGATTATCTTTTCGTATTGGCATATTTTGAAGGTGAGTTGGAAGTAAATTCAAATTGGAGTGTGCCGTTTTACCATCCACTCTAAAGTTCAGGGTATAGTAAATTTGTCTCACAGATTGCAATGCCTCGAAATACTTGACGGAGACCCCGCAGAGTACATACCTTCTTAACTAAAAACCCTGTAGTGGAATTCTCTAATTCATTTTTTGGGTTACCGACAAAAGTCGGCAACATTAAAATGTTTATAATTTCGTTAATTAACGAAAATTGTCGGTAAGTTAGCGACGAAATCAAGGTACTCGCTAAGACCACCCGATAGATACCAGTGTTTTCAACCATAACTTATTTTTCATATCAAAATTTTGGGTTTCAAAGTTACCGATTTTTGTCGGTAACTCAAAAAATGAGTTAGAGAATCTAACTATAGGGAAGACATAGATAGAATAGTCAGTCTCTTCGGAGTTTCTGGGAATATTTCCAACCAAATTAGCTAAAACTTGACTTTTCCGGTTCTCACTACGTATGTGGTTGCTAACAAATGTGTTCAATAGAGGTATGTCTAGATTTCGAATGGAATCTGTTGTAACGCATTAGATATAATTTCTCAACGCCACAATGTTTTTGAATAGGTCCAGTACTTTCTGCACTACCTATATAACGGTAGGTCATTTGTAGGTATTTTTTAAATAATATTCAGATTTCATTTTTTTAATAATTGACTGACCTTGAATCAACGCCCAGACGAAACGACTGAAGCTAAAATCTTGAAATTTTGCACGAGGATCAGCCTTGGTAGGTATGAGTGGGGTCTTGAAAGTTCGCACTAAAAGGATAAGGAAAAGTGCTAAAATGTACTAAATTAAATACTTCGTACTGGGCAAACGGAATGAGCTTGATTTTGGAAATTTGGAATGAGAGTCACTGGTGGAGTGCTAACCTGCAGCCCAAGGGCTTATGGAAATTCGAACATTGAGTTAACGAAAAGTACTAAACTTCTTAAATGGTACTATGTGAAGGATAGAGTTAAACATTGATATTTGGTACGAGAACCAATGTTGAAAAGTAAATTTGATAGGCTTAGCTCTAGTTTAGTAACACCCATTGGATTTTTTTGACATTTCTACCAGAGGTAGGTATTTATACCCTGATTTATCCGAAAGTCCGGGTCCAAAACCCGAATCAACAAAACCGATATCTATAATATCTCTGTATTCAGGAGAGATATTTTGATATTTTGTGAGCTCCAAAAAAATGGAGACTTTTCCAACTTTAGGGGGATTTTTAAAAAAATCCGGCTACGGATTTAACTCCCGAGCCGCTTCAAATAACCCTATCATTTGACCACTTGATGGATAGGTATCTTAACTTTCAAATGTATATGATATATTATAAATGTCGGTTTTGTAGATCCGGGTCGTGGATCCGTACTTTCGGATGGAACACGCGAGTAACCCGGTCCGTCCCCAAAAAAAAAAATACTTTCTCGGAATCAGGGTACAAATACCTACCTCTCGTAAAAATGTCAAAAAATTCGGATGTTTTTACTAAATTAGATTTGTACCCTTTGATATAAGAAAGTAGTTTTGTAAATGTGTACAAAGCATGCGGACTGTACTAAATGGTACTAAATCTGGAACAGTTTTGTTTAGGGTGAACGGACGAAGCTGGAATTTTGAGATTTTGTATTTGGTTCGCTGTTGGTGGATGAATTGTGATAAATGGGTGATTTTGGAAATGTGTACTACAAGTGCACGAAAAGTACTAAACAGTACTATATTTCGTCCAATTTTGTATTAGGTGAACAGATAATGTTTGAAATCCGAAATTTGGTATTAGTGTCGCTTTTCATGTGTAGCCTGGACATATGGAGGTGGTTTCGGAAATGTGTACGAAAAGTACTGAATAGTACTTTATATGGTATTTTGTCAAGGGATAGACAAAAAATTCTGAAATTTGATATTTGATGTTGATTACTGATGATATCTGTGATTGAGGTTTGGTTTGGAAATTCCTCCTATATTTGTACGAAACGTACTAAATGGTACTAAATTTTATATTGGGCGATGGGATAGGGCTGAAATTTTCAAATTTTATTTTGAGGTCTCTGTTGGTATCTATAATTGGAATAGTCCCCATATAACAGTAAATCCCGATATTCGGTATTTTGATTATTTTTGCCACATTTTTTCACTAATTTGTCTAAAAATTGGTATTTGTTGGTCATAATGGGTTCTAGCTCCGGTGGCGAAACATTGCATGTATGGGTTCACGATTTGGTATAGACCCAATATAACGGTACCTCCGGCATTTTAATGGTTTTTGCCACATTTCTTCTAATGTTTCCTTTACCTTAAGGTGGAGGGTATTAAAAGTTTGGCCTGGCCGAACTTAATGTTTTTTACTTGTTCATTATCAAATAGTACCTCCCAATATTCGGTGTATTGACGATTTATGCCACATTTTCAAATAGAATTGTTTAAAATCCGATTCTCGGAGTTTGTAACGGATTTCACCTTCTATAGCAAAACACTGTCTAGGTCTCCCGATATTCGGTATTCTAATGATTTTATCAAAACGATTCAGGTATTTGGTATTTAGTGACTTAAGCCAAATTTTTAACAGAAAAAAATGTAATCTCTATTCTTTTATTTTTAAAAGTTTTCTTTACCTCATGGCGGAGTATTTTGCATTGTTCTGCCCTCTCAAACCTTCTTGTTACAAGTTGTACTATTTTCTGCTTTAAGTAATTTTTAAGGTTAATTTGCCTCTTTATCTTAGTTTTTCCCAAACTAGTATGGGGGCACCAGGCCCATTTAAGGTCGGCTAGTAAGCCAATCTGACAACTGAGTTTGCTGTCAAAATTCATATTTAAATATTAACAAGTAAGCAAAGGCTACAGTCGAGCGGGGCCGACCGTTGAATACCCTACAACACTATAATAAACGATACAGTTTACAAGACATTGTGACAAATGATAAAAGAAAACCATCAGGTTTCGTTCTCTAATTTTCGAATAATAGCAACTTAAACCAATTTGCTCATTTCCAATTTATAGGTAGATGTTGCACATTAATGGTCTTCCTAGATCTGGAACCAATATTTCTCAAAGACCTATAATCACTCAGAAGTGGCAAAAGATTAACATTTATTATTGGTTTTCGACTAAAACGCATCTATATGAGATACAGACATTTGACTATATTCTTCAACGAAATCAGCCTTAACGAAATAGTCAGAAGTGCATCTTTCCTGTATATGTGAATTCTGCAAAAAGACACTGGAATGGATATTTTCGTATTTTGTCTACAAAAGTTGGCAAACTATTTCACATATTGAATATTTTTGGATGGCCATCCAAAACTGCTTGGCTTTTGCAATGTCCGGTAACCCCCATAATTACGACCTGCTGACAATTTTGCAGTTTTTGGTCCATTTCAACCCCTAAATATATGGTGATCATCTCCAAAAAGAATAGGCTCTGACCCTCATCTTATCTCCATGCAAAATTTCGTAAGGATCGGGCCATAAATGCGATCTGTATACGATATCCTGATATCCTAACTACTTAGTTTTGTTAGCTGTAGAAATATTACAAAATATTTAATTCAAAATGAAAATATGCCAAAAATATGACAAAATTGAAAAAAATATGAAAAAATTTTACAAAATCAATATTTTCATCTTTAGAGAGATATTTTTATGCGATTTTTTTAGACGTTTTTTCTTTCCTGCCTAGAGGTCATTCTGAATTAATGAGAACTGTTGAAATCAGTTCAGCCGTTCTCGACATATAAGAGATTTTTCAAGCATATCTTCTTTGATAAACATATATGTCGCACATATTTTGCTATATATCCGTTTTGTTGGATGTTAACATCAATGTAAAGATCAGAAGTAACCTTGTCATGGCTTTGTGATTTCGCCGGGATTTAAAATATTCGCGGTTTAATGAAAAATTTTGAATTTTTTCAACAAAAAAGATATGGTCTATTTTACACGCTAAATATTATCCGATGACCACCCAAATGGGTAGGCTTCTTGCCAGCCCTAAACTCTAGCTACATGCGAAATTCCGCGTCGATTGGTCTATAATTGCGACCTGTAGAGCAAGTGCAAAATCAGGAAATTTTTCAGTTTTTGGTCCATTTCAACCCCTAAATATTATGCGATCATCACCAAAAGAAATAGGGTTCTATTCTGACCCTAGCCCCACCTCCATTTTAAATTTCGTGAAGATCGGACCATAATTGCGACCTGTAGAGTGATTACAAATTAACATGGACAGACGGACGGACGGACATACATAGCTAGATCGACTCAGCTCGGCGAGATAGGAAGATCCATATATACTTTCCTATGTGGGAAATCAATATTTCGTGGTGTTACATAATTTTTGGCCCAATCAAACTTATAATACCCCCAACACATAGTGTTGTAGGGTATAAAAAAAAATTGATTTGAAGAAAGGCAAAACACTATAGTGTAAGAACTTTGAAGTGTATTGACAAATTGATGTCAAAAGCAGTCTTCCCCTCCGACCTCATAGAGGCCTTTGGGAACAAATTTACTACATTTCTTAAAAAAATAATTTTGAAAGCAGAAAACCAAATATTATCAGTGATTTTGGTGACAGCACAACCTGCCTATCTTTCATCTAACATAACTACCATAAATATTTTTTTATAAATCAGAAAGTAATGCAAATTTACGACCTCTCACCTCAACTTGTTGTATCACATTTATATGTATCACATTTCAAAATATGTTTTAATCCCATGTCACGTAAAAGGGATTTTAATTAATTACCCCATATTGGCCAACTTTCAATTATTCCAGCCGGCCCTTTCACATACTGCCTATCACAAACAAAAAAACTAAACCAATATTCTTTTCCCCTCATTTCAGGCTGTGCGAGTTCACGAAAAAGCCATGCGTGAACAGGCCAAAAAAATGAATGTTGCCTCCCTAAGACAAAGCGATGCCGACGCCAAGTCAGTGGAAATTAAATTGGCCAAGGTGGCTCTGGTCACCATATCGCTGTGGTTCCTGGCCTGGACACCGTACACCATCATCAACTATGCCGGCATTTTCGAGTCCATGAATTTGTCGCCGCTGAGCACCATTTGTGGGTCGGTGTTTGCCAAGGCCAATGCGGTGTGTAATCCGATTGTCTACGGCTTAAGGTAAGGCAATTAAGGAGTTCATTAAAACAGGTCTTAACATGACTTGTCTGCCTGCCTTTTGGAAGAATTTTTAATTGTTTTTTTTTTTTCTTCTGCAGTCATCCAAAATACAAACAAGTTTTGAAGGAGAAAATGCCCTGCCTGGCCTGTGGCAAAGATGACACAGCAGCTGAAATCCGGACTCAGGCCACAACTGAAGTCAGTGAATCGGCGGCGTAAGGCAGTGCTGGAGAATAACTCAATTCGTGTCTGCTATTTTATATGTTTCTAGGGACCATATTTTATCTTAGCATATTTGTTGTAATATTTGTAATTCCTGTAGTCAGAATTTCTTCATGAGGAAAACAGAAAAAAAAAACAAAAACAAACTTTTGGAAGTTGACGAAAAAAGCTTTTGTACACGGTTCAATTCCTATGATTTAAAAACAAAACTCTGGATAAACAAAATTAAAAAAAAAATCAAATTATTTTGGAACAAAAAAAAAACAATTACAAGAACATGTCGAAGAAGAACAATTATTGCAAAGAAAAAAAAAACAAAAGAAAAAAATAAATAAAAATAGCAAAAATGAGCAATTGATATAAAATCATAAAAGGAAGGTGTGTTTCTTTAAGAACTGCATGAGGTTTCAAATGCAAAGGATCTCAGCGAAAAAGAACATGTAATGGCGGCCCATTCCGTTAATCAATACCTCTCCAAAAATTTCTTGAAAAAAAATATTGCTCTGTTCCAGAACTGCACGAGTGTAAAAGTTTTTCCTACACTGATCGATTTTCTTTTTATGATATCGGAAAAAAATTGCAAAAATAGATTTTTGCAGTTTCTGGAATAGAGGATAAAATTTTTATACCCTCCACCATAATATGGGGGTATATTAAGTCATTCTGTCATTCCGTTTGTAACACCCCGAAACATCAATTTTAGACCCCACATAGTATATATATATATATATATATATATATATATATATATATATATATGGAAATCACTCCGTCGGTGGTAATCACTCTAGCTTCCGAACGAAATGAAGTAGGTTGATAAAATTTTACTCAAATTTTACTCTGCAGGACATGGGCCATGTAGGTCCACATCTTCGTACAGCTCCCACATAACGGTACATCCCGATATTCGGTTTTTTGATGATTCTAGCGACATTATTCATCGGAATTGTTTCAAATTCACGGTACCCCCCGATATTCGGTATTTTCATGATTTTATCGACTTTATTCACCGGAATTGTTTTAAATTTGGTGTTTGAAGTTCGTAATGGGTACTACAGCCTATGACAGAAAATGGGCCATTTAGGTCCACGTCTTCGTATAGCCTCCATATAACGGTACCTAACGATATTCGGTATTATTCACCGAAATTATTTGAAATTTCACATTTGAAGTTCATAATGGATAATATAGCCTATGCCAGAAAATTGTCTGTGCAGGTTCACGTCTTCGTATAGCCCCCATATAACGGTACCTCCCAATATTCGGTATTTTGATGATTTTAGCGACATTATCCATCGGAATTGTTTCAAATTTGGTATTTGAAGTTCGTAATGGGTACTACAGCCTATGACAGAAAATTATCTGTGCAGGTCCACGTCTTAGTATAGCCCCCATATAACGGTACCCCCGATATTCGGTATTTGGATAATTTTAGCGACATTATTCACCGGAATTTTTTTTTCAAATTTGGTGTTTGAAGTTCGTAATAGATACTACAGCCTATGACAGAAAATTGTCTGTGCGGGTCCACGTCTTCGTATAGCCCCCATATAACGGTACCTCCCGATATTCGGTATTTTGATGATTTTAGCGACATTATTTACCGGAATTGTTTCAAATTTGTTATTCGAAGTTCATAATGAATACTACAGTATAAGTCAGAAAATGGGCTATGTAGGTCCACGTCTTCGTATAGCCCCCATATAACGGTAACTCCCGATATTCCGTATTTTGATGATTTTAGCGACATTATTCACCGGAATTGTTTCAACTTTGGTGTTTGAAGTTCGTAATGGGTACTACAGCCTATGACAGAAAATTGTCTGTGCAGATCCACGTCTTCGTAGAGCCCCCATATAAAAAATCAAATTATTTTGGAACAAAAAAAAACACAATTACAAGAACATGTTGAAGAAGAACAATTAATGCAAAGAAAAAAAAACAAAAGAAAAAAATAAATAAAAATAGCAAAAATGAGCAATTGATATAAAATCATAAAAGGAAGGTGTGTTTCTTTAAGAACTGCATGAGGTTTCAAATGCAAAGGATCTCAGCGAAAAAGAACATGTAATGGCGGCCCATTCCGTTAATCAATACCTCTCCAAAAATTTCTTGAAAAAAAATATTGCTCTGTTCCAGAACTGCACGAGTGTAAAAGTTTTTCCTACACTGATCGATTTTCTTTTTATGATATCGGAAAAAAATTGCAAAAATAGATTTTTGCAGTTTCTGGAATAGAGGATAAAATTTTTATACCCTCCACCATAATATGGGGGTATATTAAGTCATTCTGTCATTCCGTTTGTAACACCCCGAAACATCAATTTTAGACCCCACATAGTATATATATATATATATATATATATATATATATATATATATATATATATATATATATATGGAAATCACTCCGTCGGTGGTAATCACTCTAGCTTCCGAACGAAATGAAGTAGGTTGATAAAATTTTACTCAAATTTTACTCTGCAGGACATGGGCCATGTAGGTCCACATCTTCGTACAGCTCCCACATAACGGTACATCCCGATATTCGGTTTTTTGATGATTCTAGCGACATTATTCATCGGAATTGTTTCAAATTCACGGTACCCCCCGATATTCGGTATTTTCATGATTTTATCGACTTTATTCACCGGAATTGTTTTAAATTTGGTGTTTGAAGTTCGTAATGGGTACTACAGCCTATGACAGAAAATGGGCCATTTAGGTCCACGTCTTCGTATAGCCTCCATATAACGGTACCTAACGATATTCGGTATTATTCACCGAAATTATTTGAAATTTCACATTTGAAGTTCATAATGGATAATATAGCCTATGCCAGAAAATTGTCTGTGCAGGTTCACGTCTTCGTAAAGCCCCCATATAACGGTACCTCCCAATATTCGGTATTTTGATGATTTTAGCGACATTATCCATCGGAATTGTTTCAAATTTGGTATTTGAAGTTCGTAATGGGTACTACAGCCTATGACAGAAAATTATCTGTGCAGGTCCACGTCTTAGTATAGCCCCCATATAACGGTACCCCCGATATTCGGTATTTGGATAATTTTAGCGACATTATTCACCGGAATTTTTTTTTCAAATTTGGTGTTTGAAGTTCGTAATAGATACTACAGCCTATGACAGAAAATTGTCTGTGCGGGTCCACGTCTTCGTATAGCCCCCATATAACGGTAACTCCCGATATTCCGTATTTTGATGATTTTAGCGACATTATTCACCGGAATTGTTTCAAATTTGTTATTCGAAGTTCATAATGAATACTACAGTATAAGTCAGAAAATGGGCTATGTAGGTCCACGTCTTCGTATAGCCCCCATATAACGGTAACTCCCGATATTCCGTATTTTGATGATTTTAGCGACATTATTCACCGGAATTGTTTCAACTTTGGTGTTTGAAGTTCGTAATGGGTACTACAGCCTATGACAGAAAATTGTCTGTGCAGATCCACGTCTTCGTAGAGCCCCCATGTAACAGTACCTCCCGATATTCGGCATTTTGATGATTTTATCTACATTATTACCGATTTTTTTTAAGTTTCGCATTTGAATATTTTATTGGCTTACGACAAAAGTTACCTATGCAGGTCCATGCCGTCGTATAGACTCTAAAATAACAGCTACATTCGGTATTTTTAAGATTTTAGCAGAATTTTTAACAGATTTTATTGTTTTTGAGAATTGCCAAATTCGTTCCAAATGATGGAGGGTACGGCCCGGCCGAACTTACAGCTATTTTACTTGTTTTTTATGATATCCAAAAAAATTGCAAAAATTTTAGATTCTTGCAGGTTCTGGAACAAGGGATATGATTTTTTAATTATTAAACATTTGGACACCACTTCTTTATTTTCGCATTTCATTTTCAATTTCATGGCCAAACAATTTTCTCAATCCACTTAACATACACTTGGATTCGGGTATAGAATGCGGGGAGGCCCTTATTGGCACAACCACCCTCACCATACGATGTTACACCCAAGACCAAAAACAAACAATTATAATCCGGATGATCAACAAACAGAGGACCACCCGAATCACCCGTACACGTATCGCGCTCATAGTAAAACGATCCGGCACACATTTGTATCGTTGTATTAATGGACACAACAGCCTTATCGATTTTCGATTGGCACAGCTCATCACTGAAGTTATCCAGCTTGACTTTTTGCAAATGACTTGCCGAATTGCCGAAATTTTTGACGGCACCAAAGCCGGTAGCCAAAAACTGGGGAAAGGAACGTCCATCAACCAGCGGCAAACAAGCCGGGAGAATATAATCATTATATTGGACTGTTGCATTCAACTTCACAACGGCAATGTCATGGAACCGGGTATCGTCATCATATTCTTCGTGGATATGGTATGAGTCGAGGGAAAAGTCCACCGGGGAAGCATCGTCTTCGGATGTGTTGTAATCTAGTTCCCCCAGACGCACTATATTTGGTTCACTGTAAGAGAAACAAAGAAAATTTTGAAAATTATTTAAAAAATTCAGATTCGTAAGTACAGAACTTACTAGAAAAAATATTTATAAAAAAAAACTATCAAAAAAATATGTTTAAAAAAGCCACAATTATATAGTTTTGGGAAAATATTTAAAAAATACATGCAGGATGAGATGAAAAAACTGCAACCAATTTCAGATTGCTGTCATTTCTAAGCCACTAGTCCGACATCTGTTAAAATTATTCCAGTGACAGCTCATTATGTTGTTTACAAGCGTGCAAAAGCATTTTGGTGAGAATTTTCCAGAAAAAATGTTATTCGTGATGGAATTCAAGCGTGATAGTGTGATTTCTATATATAGTTGACTGGAAGACCACAAGTGGCTATCGTTAGAGCACTCCAGCATTTAAATGTCAATAAATCTTTTGTCTCTCCTACCATCGCACGTTATCGTGATACTGGTAGCGTTGCCCGACGTCAAGGAAGTGGACGGAAGAAAACAGCAACATCAGCAGAAATTGTTCGAAAAGTAAGGAAGCGACTTGATCGAAACCCGCGTCGCAGTGGCCGAAAAATGGCTCGTGAGCTGAACATATCGCAATATTCCATTCGGTAAATATTGAAAAATGAGCTCGGGTTAAAGCCATTTGAATTCCAAAAAGTGCAAGAACTTACACCGCACCAGTCTCAAAAGAGCTAAAGAGTTGCTTAGCTTGGCCGAAAGTGGTGGATGAGGAAACATTCGTTGCCCAGCAGTTCGTGTTTATCGTCTTTACTTGCCAAAGAGGTCAGCTGAAAATGTGCACCTTCGGTTGGCCACCAGAACTCAAGCACCAGCCATGGTATTAATCGGCTGTGGCATCAGAATAAACGCCGAATATTGACGCGAAAATATTCTGGAGGGTGTATTAAAGCCTCGGGCACGCAAGCACGTGTGACGGTTTTCATTGGCTGTTTGACCATAATTCGTGTCAATTTCAATAGCGTTCGTCCTTGGGCCAAATAAATTTTGGGGAGATACTAGAAGGAGTGTACCGATATTGCCCATCTCCAAACTCGATCTAAGTTTGATAAAAATATAAAAAGTTATTCATTCTCACCAGCCAGCCAGATAGATGGACGAAGAGACCTAGGGTCTAAAACTGTTATTTCGATAAGGCACGTTTTGGCAGTACAAAATGAATGAAAAAAGTCGTCTGAATTATCCCCTTAAAATGAATATTAAAGTCAAATTTTACATTTTAATTTCTAAAAATCCGTAGAAATAACTATTTTTAAAAGATCCATCCAGTCCTTAAAATTTATAATCGAAAATCCAGTTTCCCTCTATTTTCCACAAAATAATCTCAGTGTTTACGGTTTGAATTCAGTTCAAAAATATACTCACTTGGGAACATAGAAACAATGTGCAGCTGTCAACACATATCGATTACTGATCAACGATCCGCCACACAGAATTGTTCGCTGAGCTCCATTGACGTACATCAACAACGCCATGAAAGGAAACTCCTTGGGATCGGCATTTTTCCCGCCAACAATCAGAGATTTGTCGCAAGTTTTTCGACTGTTCTGATACGATTTGCATTCTAAACAGGAAAACTTCGAAGTAAAGCATTAAAGCTTTAATAAAAATTACTTCAAAATACATACCACGAACAATACGCTGATCGTCGTCCTTTTTCGGTACATAGGGCCGCGGCGGTACGGGGCAACAGACATAAACTGAGCCTTCACCTACCTTGCAGTAAGGCACATTTCGCAATTGTCGAAATTTCTTTATTATCTCCGGACACTGGCGTAACAACTTGCATTCTGTATTTATAGAACATTCATCTCCGGAAGCTATAAAAAATAAATTATTAAATAATCTTTATTCAAAAAAAAAAATAAAAAAATGTACTTAATGTCTATGTTGTCTCTTTTCAACCATACAGAATTGTTTAAGACACTATTGGTTATAAATATATTATTTATTTTATTGTTAATATCGGATCCAATTAACTGCCTTTGGAGATGAACTCCTTAAGTGTCTAAATGAATTTAAATGTTCTAAAATTTAAAATCTTAATTTAAAATCAGAGACAAATTATGTCGATCGTTAAAATGTCGTCGCTTTTGTCGCAAAAATCGGCATTTCCCATTTTTACAGTGAAAAATCGTCAAAATGTGGATAAATTGGCAAAAATTGCTGCCCTGAGTACTAGGCCGCACAAAGTGCGATAAAGGTGAGGGAACATAGCAGCTTGCCACCATGACCAGCACACAAATATGCAATGCGATGACTTCAAGCTGCTTGTGTAGCCACACCTTAAAGGTGAGAATAAATAAAACTTTTTTTGACTAGCTTATGTCATCAAGCCAGCTGATGACAGAGCAGAACAGAGGAGGATAGGCCCAAAATCGGACTAAGTCAACATAAAACTCTTTTGCTCCTCTACGAAGAAGCTAGCTGATGACTTAAGCCAATCAAAAAGGCGTCAGCGACACCGTAAAACCTCCATATAGTCATTGTACCATAGTATTAGAACCCCCGGTAAAGTAGACAGCCAAAGCGATGCATGTCATAAAAAAATTTGACCAGATATCTCCTTGCGTACAACTCAGTGTCAAATATGTTCTATTTAGGGAAAGACTATAAGCTATCGGAAAACATTTGACTCATGACCTCAGAATGCACTCAGACACCGATCCCTTTGTCATCTATAACTTTGCAAACAACAATATCAGCAGAAATGGTTCGAAAAGTAAAGAAGCGACTTGATCGAAACCCGCGTTGCAGTGGCCGAAAAATGACTCGTGAGCTGAAAATATCACAATATTCCATTCGGCAAATATTGAAAAATTAGCTCGGGGTAAAGCCATTGATATTCCAAAAAGTGCAAGAACTTACACCGCAACAGAAAGAAAACAAACTCCAAAGATTTTTGGCGCCCATATAACCCGAAATCGGTTGAAAATACATGGGCGCTATATCTTAATCTGATCCGATTATCACTAATTTCAAAAGAGTTCATCCTTGGTGCAAACAAATATTGTTTGGAAATAAATGCGACCTGCATTTTGTTCACAAGAATACATGGACGGACGGACGGACTGACATGCATAAATCGACTCAGAAAGTGATTCTATGAAGATCCTCAGAAGTAACTATAGGTCTATCTCGATTTCTTTTCCATGTTACAAACAAATGCACAAAGACATAATACCATTACCACTATGTGGTGTAAGGTATAAAACGTGATTGTCGTAGCACAAACTTAACATTTTTGCAGTTAACAAAAAAGACAAAAAACAACAACTTTAAAACTATTAACACCGATATGTTTACGTTTTTGCACAAATTTTATCAGTATTTTCTTCTAAATTCATCGCTGTATTTGTAATTTGTTTTTGTATTTTTAGACTATTTTGTCTAATATAAAAATTCCGGTAAAATTGGCGGTGCAGTCATTTCTCATAGTGGCCTGCAATTCCGAGTTGATGGATGGCTATTATCTTTTGAAATTACTGTAGGTTCGCATATATCTGTCACTAATGAAATCAATTTTGATGAATTATGTTATTTGAGAACTTCTGATTATACTCTTCCCTTTGAATTTCGAAGATACGAGAGGCCATGGAATCCTCCGCTGTTGATTCGGTAACTCAATGGATAGCTTTTCTTTTTTCAATCAGAATTGTTGGATAACTGGGCAACAGTTTATAGAACAGTCTTGAGTTTTTAAAGCTCCGAATTAATAAGTATTTATATTATGTAAGATTTGTGTCCACAATTTCAACAACATTTACTTCGGATAGACTGATTTCTAGTTGGGAATATGTAACTAGCAATGCAGCAGCAGATTCGTTCACTTCAGCTAATTATTTTTTTTTTTAATTTATTTTTAAGTTCTTTTACGTAGAAGCCAGCCGATGAGTTAAGGTGAGAATACATAAGGGCGGAAATGCCTAAAATGCATATTTGGCTGGCTTCTTCGGAAATGAACAAAGCAGCCTAGGAAAAATCGATCTAAGTCAACCTAAAATTCCTTTGTTCATCTACGAAGGCAGCCAGATAAGCGCTTTATGTATTACCAGCTTAAAACGCTCTTTTGACTGGCTTAAGTCATCGGCTGCCTTCTCCGGAAAGGAACAAAGGAGCGTAGGCCCAAAATCGAACAAAGTTAACCCAAAACTCCTTTGTTCCTCTACGAAGAAACCAGGCGATAACTTAAGCCAGTCAAAAAAGCGATTTATGCATTCTCACCTATATTCCAGAAAATATTATTTTATTTATTCTCACCTCAAAGGTTAGAGAACATACTATGTGATATTATAAGGGGAAACGACAGCAGGATTCTAGTTCGAATCTGCCATCCCTTTATGATATGTTACAAAATATGCCATGCAAAGACTTCGAGCTGCTTATATACCCACACCCTTAAGGTGAGAAAACATAAAACTCTATTTTGACTGGCTTAAGTCGTCGGTTGGCTACTTTGGAAAAGAACAAAGGAGCAAAATCGAACTAAGTCAACCTAAAATGTCTTTGTTCCTCTACGAAGAAGCTAGACAATGACTTAAGCCACTCAAAAAATATAATTTCTAAATATAATTTCTAATCCATTGTAGAATTAAGAAGGTAACCACTTTAAAATAATCAGTAATCAACCTTGTCAAGAAAATCCTTACATAGAAAACAGGTTCCCACCTCTGATTGATGTGTATATACAGAATTATGAATATAAATTTTGACGGTAAAATATATAATTTTGAAAAATTCGTAAGCATGTGATTGCACGGGGTTACCTTCTTAATTGTACTATGTTCTAATCACTGAATCAGCTGGGTTTTTCTTGCGCTGTAATTGCATTGCTTTATCTCTTCGGCAATCTTTACAAATGTCCCACTTTTGCAAACTGCACTTCCATAGAAATGTATTAATGGGCAGTTTATTGTTGTTTGTCAATAATTGCAAATTGAAATCTTCTCGACTTACATTCCACAAAAATCCATGACTGCAAAATATTTGCGCTCAAAATCAATGTCAACAGCAATCTAATCATGTTTTAGTTAGTTCCGCACGAAAAATCCAAACATTCGCTATTTGAGCGTCGTTTTTTTGTTATTTCTTTTTCTAAATTTTATTGATTGAACTTTTTCAGAAGCCTACTGAAACGATCGCCACGGATTCTCTTTCCGTACTAGCGTTTACGCTATTTACAATTCAACAAATAAGCTTAGCTTGGCGCCTGAACAGCAGATTAACCGTATCAATAGATAGCTGAGGTTTATATGAGATAACATTTGAATTGATGGTAGAGTTCTCAGTTCTGCTCAGAATTGTTTTGCTACTCTCTGGCATACAGCTCACAAGACAAGTTTTACCGGCTTGTTGTTTTTTAATTTTTTTTTGCTTTGTCTGTTGCAGACAAGACGGCACCTCGAATGTAAAGAAAATTGTTTAGAACAAGTTACACCATTTCCCATCGTTGAAAATTTAAAATGCATCTTATCGTTAGGCTTATAGATAAACTGTTGCAATCGCTAGGTCTGACCCAACTTTAATATCAGACGCGTACTCCCCATAGTCTGAACTATAGAGGGTTAGTAGGCTACGGAAACCAGCCACAGTTAGACGTCAGCCGGTTAAACAAATTGACAAATAAAGACCACAAACAGAAGAAACGAAAATAAACATAAATAATAAAGAGGAGTAGGGTGGGGTGTCCGGCAACAACATGCTTTATTACAACAGATTTAAAATAGTGCATTTAGTAACATGCAAATGTTCGGTCAATGATATCTTATGATTCATAATTCGATTTTGTCAAGGAATATTTAAGTGGTATCTAATTAGGAGTATTACGAGAAAAAATATTGAAATTTAATTCAGCAGTTAAAAACTAAAAATTTATTTCATCGCACAAAAGTTTTATAATAAATAGAGCTCTTAACATTAAACGTCTCTTTTCCAGTGTCGTAAGGCGAACAAGTTTTAGGCCATTTTCATATGCTGGAAGTGTTTCATATATATCCTATCCTAAGTGCGAATAAAAGGAATTTGGTTTGTACTGATACCAATTTAGTAGAATATATTTTATAACAAGCCGGGCCGGGCCGAACTTTGAATACCCTCCACAATTTGGAACGAATTTGGCAATTCTCCATTACAGTGTTTGGCTTGCTTGTTTGGGATACCATAGTATTTTGTTGTTGCAAAATCGTCAGGCAAAATCCCATTATTGTTGTTTTTATAAAAACAACGTTTGTTTATGAGTGGAGAACGATGGTAATGTTTACCAGGGGGTAAGGCAGGGAATACCTAGGTTTCGGAAAGAGCCACCAATCCTCATCAGTTCCCTTGTTTCTTGTCTGGGATATTCTCCCCAGAAGTTATTTTAAAAATAACTTCTATGACAAAAAACATTTTTTACCCAAGTGACGAGATCGTAAGCTCAATAGAAGAGGAACAAAAGAATTACATAAAACTAAAATTCTTTTGGAAAATCTTCTAAATTTTACAACCGCACTTATAAACATTTACATCTTTCTCCACTTTGTTATGCTTTCGTTTAACCTGAACGAAGTAACATAACCATGTAAGTTTGTTTTGTCTGTTACAACAAAAACCCCTTCGTCGACCGTGCCTGTGTCTATTAATAGACACAAACGTTGTTTTTATAAAAACAACAATAATGGGATTTTGCCTGACGATTTTGCAACAACAAAATACTATGGTATCCCAAACAAGCAAGCCAAACACTGTTCTATTAATAGACACAGGCACGGTCGACGAAGGGGTTTTTGTTGTAACAGACAAAACAAACTTACATGGTTATGTTACTTCGTTCAGGTTAAACGAAAGCATAACAAAGTGGAGAAAGATGTAAATGTTTATAAGTGCGGTTGTAAGATTTAGAAGATTTTCCAAAAGAATTTTAGTTTTATGTAATTCTTTTGTTCCTCTTCTATTGAGCTTACGATCTCGTCACTTGGGTAAAAAATGTTTTTTGTCATAGAAGTTATTTTTAAAATAACTTCTGGGGAGAATATCCCAGACAAGAAACAAGGGAACTGATGAGGATTGGTGGCTCTTTCCGAAACCTAGGTATTCCCTGCCTTACCCCCTGGTAAACATTACCATCGTTCTCCACTCATAAACAAACGTTGTTTTTATAAAAACAACAATAATGGGATTTTGCCTGACGATTTTGCAACAACAATTCTCCATTACAATATTCAAATGCGAAACTTGAGAAGAAAATCGGTGAATAATGCAGCTAAAATCAACAAAACACCGAATACAGGGGGGGGGGGGCTATACGAAGACGTGGAACTGCACGGACAATTTTCTGTCATAGACTGTAATATTAATTACTAACTTCAAATACCAATTTTGAAACATATTCGGTGAATAATGACGCCTAAATCACCAAAATACCGAAAACAAATATATGGGGGCTATACCAAAACGTGGAGCTACACAACCCATTTTCAATACCAGAAATCCTGCAAACATAATGCACATTCGAGTAAAATTTTATCAACCTATCTCATTTCTTCGTTCGGAAGCTAGATTGATTCCACAGACGGACGGACATCGCTAAATCGACTTAAAATATGATGCTGATGAAGAATATATTTACCTTGTGGGGTCTAAAATGAATATTTCGAGGTTTTGTGATAAGTCTGTATTGTCCCACTATTTTAGATTCAATTTTGTGGAATAATCCCCAAATTCCATTCTTGTTTCGCGTGTTTTTCCCAATATAAGAATTTTCTTCCGTCTGTCTGTCTGTCTGTCTGGCTGGTGCGCACGATAACTCTCGAAGGGAATATCCGATTTGGTTCAAACTTGATGCATCGTAATATTATTGTCCAACTTAGATCGAGTTCGTAGATGGGCCATATCGGTCCTCCTCTCCCACACAAAAGGTCGAAATTTTCAAAAAAAATATATTTTTTGCACAGAAAGAGAGATTTTGCTCCAACTTTGCAAATCCTAATATTTGCGTCAGTGTGCTATGCCAGGTGTGAAAATGGACAATATCGGTCCACTCCATCAAGTACCTCCTCCACAAATGATCAAAATTTTGAATAATTACAAATCTCATAAAATGCGATGTAAGAGTCAGATTGTCTTCAAATTGCATACAACCCCAATATTTATATTAACCCAAGGTCTGGTGTTAAGATGGACAATATCGGATAACATCCGATTCAATTTACACTTGGCATATCTGAATATTTCCATTAATCACAGGATCTGTTATAAAAATGGTAGAGATAGGACCTTTTGGTACCTCCCCTACGAAGGGTCAAAATTTTGAATATCCATGGCGCTCATATAACGCGATATTAAAATCCGATTCCATTCAGACTTGGCACATCTCAATATTTCCATTTACACAAGATCTGTTATAAATATGGTAGAGATCTGACCATTTCTTCTGGTACCTCCCCCAAATAGGGTTCAAGATTTTGAGAAACCAAACGAAACCAAATTTCACAGATATAAACATTTTTGCCAACACCAGATCTGTTGTGAGGATGATACATAGCTGCGAACGTCTTCTGGTACCTCGCCCTGCAATTCTTTACAATTTGCTTTATCTAAATATTTCTCTTGGGATGAATATGGGTTGTATGATGAAGCTACCATTATAGACCACACCTGACACATCGCATTATTTATGTCGTATTTATTTAGGTCCGATATGAAATAAACAATATTTACCTATTATTTCAGAACCCACTCCATAGAGGGTCAAGAGTTTTAATAATCATAACAGAATTTTTAAATAATCGAGCAAAGGGGCGTAGTATCGAAATTTAACTAAGTCAACCTAGAACTTAAGCCACTCAATAAAGCTTTTTATATGTTCTTACCTTTAGTCAGATAAGGATCGTCAAATAAATAACGCCAAGACCAAGACATGGATCTACATTGTCCAATTTGTAAGAGCCAATGAAGCAATCACTATTAAAAGTTTGTGTTCTAAATAGAGACAATTTTTTAGGTGTCCTAAGATTTAAAGTCACACTATTAGCACTGAACAGATGTACAAATGAGTAGATATCTTGTTGCAAATTAAGGGACCTGATGAGGGTCCATATTGCAACAAAGTTTGACATCATCAAAAAAAAATTAGGTATAACTGCATAACGTATAACCGTTTAAAATACAGTACAACAGGTTAAAAAGTATCAGTCGACAACCAATATTAGATTATTTGAATATATTTTGAATTATGTAATGATTATTCAAATTGTTGGTGCCGTCTCATAATCCCAACGGACATAATCCGCATTACAATTATGACCGTTTTGTGACCGTCTAAGAAAACATCCGCCATAATCCCCAGAAAGTAGCGGACATAATCCCCTTAATATTGGCTTTGTCCAAAACGAATGTGGACATGGACGGGTGTGCGAAAAAAAAAAAAGATTTTCTACTCTGGGTATGTCCCGCACGGGCTAACGTGAATCCAAGTTTTCCAAATTTTAAACGTTATGTAAGCACCCGGTCTTTCGCCGGGTCTTGGTATTTTCTCCTTTGAGTATTTCCAACAGAGGCTAACGCGAACCAAAGTTTTCTAAATTAGTTTCATTTTGTCCTACTACCCATGGGGAATAGGTCCGTTGTGGAAGCGAACATAATCCCCACTTAATTATGGGGATTATGACCGAAAAAAGGTAATAATCCCCATAATTGCAATGGGGATTATTATATATTGAAAATTGTAGCCCTTTGTGGGTCCGATAAATATCAACTTTACATCATGTTAAAAAAAAATGTTATGTGTATGTGTAGTATTTGAAGAGGTTTGGATGCTTGTTCCGCATTCTTTGAACGTTTTGTTTTTCAAAATCTTGAACCCTATGTGGGGGAGGTACCAGAAGAAATGGTACAATCCCTAGCATCTTTATAAAAGATCTTGTGTTTATGGAAGTATTGAGATGTACCAAGTCTGAATGAAATCGAATCTTCGTCCGATTTGCCTTGTATTGTGCACCAAACGTGTAATATCAGCCCGAATTGTATGGAATTTTGTATATACACCCAAATTAGGTCTGAAAATATGTATGCCAAATTTGATCGAAATCGGTTCAGGTATAGCTATAGCTCCCGCCGCCGTAATATGCACTCTGCAACAACAATATTTGGGGAAATATATCAAATGCAGCTCAGAAATACATTTGCTAAATTTTATCGAGATCGGTTCAGATTTGGATATAGCTCCCATATATAACCTCGTCCGATTTAC